CCTCTTATAGACTCCTCCAAAACCTTGACGTAAAACGGCTGTCACGATCGGATACAATCGTTAACGAAACACTGTGAAGTCTCACAATTTCCTTCACGTAAGAATTCGCAAGTTTATCCATAGACCATTTCCCGTTGGCTGCTATGAAATGCGCACTCTTAGTGAAGCGATCAACGACCACCCAATCATGTCGTGACCGTTCCTTGTTCTGGGTAGTTTAGTCACGAAATCCATGGTAATGTCCTCCCATTTACCCATGGGTATAAGTAAAGGTTCTAAACTCCCATACGGTTTCTGATGTTGTGCCTTAACCCTAGCACAAGTTACACACTCGGCCACATACGTTGCAACATCGAGCTTCATCGTCGACACCAGTAATAGGGTTTTAGATCCCTATACATTTTCGGACTGCCGGGATGAATCGAGTACATGGTTTTGTGAGCTTCTTCCATCAGAAGATCTCTTACTCCTCCCGCCTTAGGTACCCAAATCCTATCATTGAATACCTTCAGTCCTTGACCGTTTGTATCAAACACCAACCTTTTTCCCAAACGTTCCTCCTTTCGGTCATTTCTCTCTAAAGCTTCCTCTTGAGCTTTCACAATTGTCGAGACAACTTCAATTCTCAACGCTCTTGGCCTTTTCTTTTCAAGATTTACCTTCCGACTGAGAGCATTAGCAACAACATTTGCTTTACCAGGGTGGTAAAGTATCTCACAGTCGTAGTCCTTGAGTAACTCTAGCCAGCGCCGTTGCCTCATGTTCAATTCCTTCTCCATACCTTTAAGGCGAATACTACCGCTGCCAACTCCAGACCATGAGTGGGGTAGTTCTTTTCATGCTCTTTCAATTGCCTCAATGCATACGCTATCACTTTATCCCTTTGGGTCTATACATAACCTAACCCAACTTCTTTAACAACGAACGCGATACTTCTATTGATCGCTTTGATCAGCCTTTACTTCAATTCGGCTTAAGTCAACTGATACATCGAACTTGGTTCTCTGAACCACATAACAAACTCATCGTAGTCGGACTCAATTTGATATGACCACTAGGGTCGGAATAACAATCATCTTCTTAGTCATTACCGAAACGATGGTAACGACAGACTAGAATAAGACGGAATCAATTATGAGTTCCTTGGTAACCTTGTGACTTTCCCTGATCCAAGTGTGAGTCCTGTGCTTCCAGTAGTATAGATCTCTACTACTATTCACACCTACTCATACTCGTCCCAAGTACGGTCTCGCAGTCCCCAAGTCCTAAAATCACAAAACAATTTAACACATACGAATGTGTCCAATTAATCATAGAATTTTCCTAGACTCTACTAGGACTTCTTCCACGCGTATCTTCAATCATCAATTCTACTTCAACTTGGTTGGTGATGGAAATTCCAGACGATGGGACAACTTCAAGAATTTCACCAACCATTCATCATCCTGCCAATCGGAGCTGTTCTTCAGACGTACCGTACCCCTCTAAACGTTCCGTTATTTTATTAGACATATTCTAAAGGCAAGATACCACTCTTATGATATCTTCTGATAGGTATCATTCACTATCATAAGTTTTTCATTTCCTCCATCTACTCAATTCTCTACGAGTCTTCAACATAACGTTTTGTACACCCAAGCAGACGTTCGGTGTAACAGGCGAGAATTTAAGATAGGAAAGCTTTATTTATGATAAACGAATAAATCTCCTTATCACTTCGAAACGTTTACATGTTAGTTCTAATCTCGTAATCATACGCTTAGAATCCTACACACATAAGGTTTCCAGATCCGGTCGGCAACAGACCATAGATCCGAACAAATAATAGCATATAAGGCATCCTTATAGCTCTAACATAAAATATTTAACACATAAAACATTTTAGGCATCTTTCCTAAAATAAACTTGTGCTCGTGTCTAAAATATGGTAGACACTCATCTCACAATCATCGCTTAGCATTCTAAGTTTAAGTCTAGAAATCCTACAAATTCCTAGTTCGCTTAAACTAATGCTCTGATACCAACTAAGACATTCCCAAATTCACGGCCAGAAAAGACCGGTTTAATTTATGCTTTTGAAATAATTTCAGAGTAATCATTTGATTAAAAGTGTTGCGGAATTGGTTCCCAGAAAAACATAATAAATATGTTATCAACAGAGGATTCTATTCCAGAAGATATAGCCTCGCTAGATGATCGATATGATGCTAATTCAACAACTGATTACCAACGGAAGTACGAGAAACCATTTTCATTTGCTAAATTGGTCGTTGCTCCATCACCTATAATTTAGCTTTGAAATTTAACTATTTCCCCGTAAACCTCCTTCCATTCAAGATAAAGAAATATATACAAAATTACATAGGAAACACGTGCAAATACAATGAGCTAATGTAAACTGGACTATCTATACTATCTACACATATAATACAAATAAGAATGATCCGCTAACAGCCCCCCGCAGTGCGAACGGGAGCTGAATCACAAACGTTTAAGCTGGATCGAAAATCTAGAAAAAGAGACGATGGAAGACTCCTGGTAAATATGTCAACATATTGAGAATAAGATGGCACATGTAAGACTCGTATGTGACTAGTCGCAACCTTGTCTCGAACAAAATGAAGATCAATCTCAATATGCTTAGTCCGTTGGTGTTGAACTGGGTTAGTAGACATGTACACTACACTCACGTTGTCACAATAAACAATTGTAGCCCGATATGGTAAGTAGTGAAGTTCAAGAAGCAAATTGTGAATCCAACAAGGTTTCTGCAACAGCATTGGCAACACCTCGATATTCTGCTTCGACACTAGATCAAGAGACGGTATTCTGACGTTTCGATGACCAAGACAACAGATTGTGTCCCAAAAAGACACAGTAACCAGATGTAGATCAACGAGTGAATGGGAAACTAGCACAATCAACATCTGAGTAAGCAATGATGTAACGAGACGGAGAACTGAAAAGTTGAAGACCATGACCTGTAGTGCCACGTATATAGCGTAGAATGCGCTTTAGAGCCGTAAAGTGTGGCTCTCGAGGGTTATGCATATATAAACGTATATGTTGGACAACATATGAAATGTTTGGTCTAGTGAACGTGTGATAGTGTAATGCACACGCAAGGCTGCGATATAAAGTAGGGTCGGCAACTGGAGGGCCTGAGCTATCAGAAGAGAAATGGAGAGAGTACCATACAAACATGACTTGACAATGGAATCCAATCTATTCCATTCAGTGTTATCAGAAGAGGCAACTTGTTTTTCGCTTGGTGGCTCTAAGTGATCAACAACTCCATAGCCTATGCAATGAATCTCAAATAACTCCTGCCATATGTCATAATTCATCATGTCCAAATTGAGAACGAACATAACATCATGTTTGATATTTATTGTGGAAGAAGGCCTGTCAGAAACAATAGAAAAAGATTGAGGCTTTAGAGATCCCGTCATGATAATCGACATAGGAAAGCGAGAAAGAGAATGGGAGATGAGATGAAGGTCGACAATATAGGAGGTGTCGACTTAGAAGTAGGGTTTAGGAAAAACACGGTTTGTGCTATGATACTATGAAATCTAAATATTTTCCTGTAAACTCCTTCCATTCAAGATAAAGAAATATATATATACAAAATTACATAGGAAACAGACCCGAATACAATGGGCTAATATAAACTGGACTATCTATACAAATAAGAATGATCCGCTAACAAGCTTGTGATTCTCCAATCTCCATTAAAAAAGAGAGCTACAAGTTATTTATGAATGTTATGGTTATTTACAACATAATCTAAAGTTCAATTTTAGTATTTTTGTTTTAGGTATTTAACCGTTTATAAATTAATCACATTGTGTTTGAAAAACTTACTTTTATAAAAGCCAAGTCCCATGTTCAATGATTTTATAAAGGCTTAGATGCATGTTGAGTAATATGATCATAAAGTCTAATAGTTTCTTGGATAACATTGTCGGGGATTGGCTAGTTCGAAAACGTTTTATCGAATCAACACAACAGAAATAATATTTGTCATATATTTTTTAATTTAATCCGCAAGTACTGATTCAAATAGAACTTAACATAATCAATAAATTACAATCATAGGGTGTAAGAAATCAACTACCTCACAAAGTAGGGATCTTTTGGTGTAGGAGAACAATAATCATGATTGATTGTTTATCAATATTTATATGAAGGTGGTATGAATGATGCTAGACGACCTACGATTGTCTTGACCAATGACGTTGGAGCTTATGGGGATCAAGTGGAGGATGCTACTTATTGTGAGACGGTTGTCTTGACAAAACCGGGTCAATGGGTTAAGGCTATTTTTTAAAAGGTAGAAGAATTGTAAGTGCGATCTATGACTTATATGTTTAGCATCATGGTAAGGATGACTACAAATAAAAGTTTTCACACTTTTTACGGCATTGGAAGTCTCTTCATGGTGATCTGGATAAAGGAAACTCAAGGGTTCAACCACAATGGTTTTGGCTTACTAGTGAAGGATCACATGGGTCGATATTGTGGGTCCACATACGGTTTGGAGCTTTCACCAAAATATGGGTACAGAAGGTTAGTAAAGGTTTCGGTTTCAAGATGGATAAGGAGGGTTGAATTTTCACCGGCAAATTATTTTCTTTCGAAATTAAATAAAAGTATGATCACCAAGGTGAATATTGTGGGTTTCTTGTGACTATAATGCTAAATCTAGGGGCTATTTTACAAATAATAAGAAAGTCAAAAATGGCTTTGACCTTTAAATTTAAATATAATGACTTGCATTTTCACAGCTTTTTGTAAAATAATAATAACTAGATGGGAATCATGCACGCCCGTTGGCGCTGAATCATTTTATTTTTTCTTCTTTCAGGTTGTATATGTAATTCGAAGTGACAAAATTTCTATAATGTTCAAGTTAAGAGAGAATGGCATTTATTATGATTTTGTGTTATGCCCTGTTTCTAATTATATTGGGGAGTCGTCCATTCATTTGTTTATTACTTGCCCGGATTTTCAATTATCATTTCAGAATCTATCTAAAAGACAAATAAAATTTACACCAAGAGAATAATAAATGCTATAATAATTATATTTTTTTTCAAAGATAACCCTGAGAAGCAAAAAAATCATGTCACGAAAGAGAGAAATCTCATCCTTCATTTGTTAGCAAGATGATCCTTCTGCAGCATAAAGTCTTGTCCCAACATCCAGGGGTCCATATCCAAACGTGAAAAGGGTAAATCAATAATTTGTCACCTCTACAACACCTGCAAGAATTTAAAACACAAAAAAAAACGTGTTTAAGATCTTATCCAACTAAAACGTGTTTTAAGATCTTATCCAACTTTTGATTAAATTAAACACAATAATAAGTTTTTATAAATTGTAAAGATTATGAAAATATATGAAATGTGAACTTACTTGAGTTTTCTTAAAGTATGAGCAAGATTAACCACAGCTGATTCACACATTTCACTTAATGGTGATGGTATGTGAGCCAAAGTCTTTTTAAAACACCATTCGACCTTTTTATACCTATAAAATTTAACCAATGACAAAATCGTCATTTAAAAAAAACAAAAGTCGACGAAATTTGAAACGAAACCTGGCTATAAGGATCTTTTTCAGACAAAATACTCATTTTTGGATTGTAGGTAGAAAAAAGTAAAATGGTCATTTTTTGGTTTACTCAAATAAAGAACGAAGTAAAGAATGCGAACTCTTTCATATGATAAGCAACAACTCCAAGCTCATTATACACAAGTGGATCCGAAGGACATATTGCCTTTGCTTGCATAAAAAAACTATACACAACCAAAGAAAAATGAAATTACATCAAACCAAATAAAGAAAAGGGCATTTTAGACATTTTGTTAAGAATGTGGTATAGCAATTACCACCTGATCATCGAGTTTGAAGCTGTGAGTACGCATGTACTCCATTCCAATATATAAAGTAGGTAAGTGACACCTAAAGATTAAAAACACATAATTTAATCATATTACACTTTGATAATATTATATTTTTTTAATTTAAATAAAAGAAAGAAGATAAATTACCCAGGAAATAAACGTGCAGCAGTTCGATAACCAGACATAGCTTGATCACCTTCTTCTTTGCCTGCATAAGCATTCTCATATCCTATCCAACCAGGGGCAAATGTTCCTTCTAAGCTAGTTGCCTTGCTGTCATATTAATAATAAATCAAATAAAGAAATGTAAATTTATGGGTAAAAAGTAGAAAGTAAAATATTGGGACTTATTTACCTGAAATAAAGGCGTGACTGGTCATACTTATTGATACAATAAGAGCAGCAGCCAACAGCAAACCATGATATTGCCCTTTGGAAACCAAAAATATTAGAATTTTTTTTATAAAAAAAAAGGTTTTTTATTTTAAATATAGTTTTTCTAATTTTTGAGGGTAGTCCTTGAGTAACTTGTAAGCCATGAGATAAAGTTCATTTGAATGTCTAAGCTCCATAGCTGCTGTTATATGAACCATTGTGCTTTTAAGATGGAATGGATTCTTTTCAAGTAATCTGAAATTAAATAATCATTATATAAATCTAAATATATATAATTAGTCTGATTGTTTATTTAAAAATGTGAACTTACACTGAAGTCAATTCAAAGCATTCTGATATTCTCCACATTGATGATATTATTCAGCTTTACATGCTAAAAGATCTGTGTTGTTTTTTAGTGTACAACTCAAGGATTGATTTGATGTGTATTCTTTTTCGAGTTCATTGAATTTTTCTTCCACAATACTTGCTTTATCGTACTGAAAATAATCAAAAACGAAAAATATTATATATTGGAAAGTATAAAATGTTTTGATGAATGTTACATGGGTGTTTTGGATGTATTTAGGTACTTTTTTTATCAGACATGAATAGAATGAAGAAAGCCAGCCATCTTCTTGAGCAAACTGTAGATTCGGATGCAACCTACAATATATTGGTATAAAAATAATAAAGATTTTATAAACTTTTGTTTTTCTTGAAAATTATTTCATGGAAACTAATTACCTGCACATCTCCATGTTCTAACAAAGTTGACCCATCAGTTGCTAACAATACAAATTCTTAACCAAGTCCCCAAAGAAGCGTATGCTGCACCAGATCATAACGTCAATTTTATAATTTATACACAGCACAGCACAGCACAGCAGTGAGTATTTTCGTATTTTGGGTGGCGTTATTATAATGATAAAATGTATATTTTAAAGAATTGAATGTTGTAAAAGGAAGAATGATGTTTTAATACAAACCATTGTTATTTTCTGTATTTAACCCAAATTTAAAATAATTAAAACTACTCATTTGCTCTTAAAATTTTATAAATAATAATAAGCATGTAATTATTAAGATAACAAATTATAACTCAAAACTTTTAAATAAGAATTTGACCAAATTAAACAATAAACACCCTCAAACGTTATCAGATTTTGTCTTTATAAAACCTCTGCATGAACTAAAAATTCCCATAATTAACAGAAAAAAAAAAACAAAATATAAATGTTCCAAATTTGCGTGTTCTCTCACAAGTCACAATCAACAAAATCATGATCAGAAACTTTTTTCGTCCATTCATTTAAAAACGTTGATAATGTACGGTTTTAGATAAATATGAACTTATATCCAGGAAAATTCAGATTCAAATTAAAACAATTTACTTGTAAACTCGTTGATACATATTCAAACTCAAAATCTTTAGAAAACATTAACACCATGAATCAAATTAAAACAACTTACTTGTAAACTCGTACATGAACTTTAATAACAACTTTAATAAGATTCAAAAAAGGGAGAGAATCAATACCTTGTTGAATGGTGGTGAAATGTCCTCTTACTGGATTCTTGTCAACGGTGATCGTATAAGAAGGGAAAAGCTTGTTCTTAGCAGTGGAAAAAAGGGAATGCTTTAAACTTCCAACAAAACTAACCCATTTCACAAACTGTTGTTCTGAGTATTGGGTTTGTGTTAAATTTGCCCCTATTAGAAATTATAAATTTATATATATACCTGTTTGTTGGGCTTTTGTTGAAGCCAAATTATAGTCGTGCCGTGTTCTGGATGCAATCACCTCCATCAGCTTTAATAATCTCAAATTAATCACTTAATCTTTCATTCAAGGAAACCGTATCCGTTTCCAAAGAAGTCTACAAAATGGGTTTTGTGGCTTAGAAAACGTAACCTGAAATTCTTGAGGAAAGAAACTGGAAAACCCTAAACTGTAGAGAGAGAGAGAGAGAGAGAGACATACAGAAGCCACCGCCACCGGCAACCACCACCATCATCAGTGCCGGTATGCGTTGTTGATTTCCCTGTCGAACTCGTCAACTGGATCAAAGAAACTCCCAATCGATTACAGTAAGTGAAACGAAAAAGGTATTCGAAATCAACTGGTGTGGTGGAGTCGGTGTTTTCTGCTTCCCCTTTGTTCTTGCGGCAAGTAAAGTCATTGATTTGATTTCCTGGAGAGAAGAGAGAGAGAAGAAGGATTTAGGGCGTCGAAGCACCAGCCACAGAACATAGAAAGAATGAAAGAGGATAAACAAATAACCTGAAATTGTGGTTTTAAACACAAAATTAATGAGAAACACGAGACGATCGAAGCAGGAGTCACATTGAGCTGGTAGAAGGAGAGGGAAGCGTTGGTTTGTGGAAAACACTTCAAGTCGCCAGACCATCATCTCCAACAGAAAGCAATCTACAAAAAGGGTTCGTGTTTAAAAAAAAAAAACAAACGACTCCTAAATCTTTAGTGCATACGGGTAAAAAGGTACATGTGAATAAAAGGTCAGACATGTCATCTCTGAATACTCACAAGGAATCAAGTAGTGGATGTCACATGAAAGTGGACAAAAGGAAATGGGCTATGGGGGTTTATCCAAGACAGATGTCTAGGGTAAAATAAGTGAACTTCTTATTTCCGCTCATGCCGGTTTTAACATAAAGAAAAAATGAAAGCATATTCAATGAGGGTATTTCTGTAATTTACCATCTTCAGGAAGAATTGCTTTAATTTGGTACATTTTACAAAATCAACCCAATTACAATAGCTAAAATTTCTTAATTTGTAATTAAAATGACATTGCTATTACCTTCTTTTTAACCCTTAAATCAATGTTGATGGTTGGTAGCTCTATAATTCAGCAGTTCATAATCTAAGATCTTGGTTTCCAAATCCAAACCAAAAACAAATAAATATATCAAATTGAGATTTAACAAATTAGAAACCCGTTTAAGAGTTTAAAAGTTCTAAATTTAGAAAGACAACCTTTGTGATATGAAAATCCTTGGAACTATCTTTGTCTATGAAAGTAACCAACCGCTGAACAGATTTCTTTTCACATACAGGCTGCTCACTTACAAGAACAAGAGGAGTTGTGGGTGTGAATTCCTTCTTTTTATTTTTCTCTTATATTTCATTTGTGTATTGCTCTTTTCTTATCCCTTCCCCTCCTCAAAAATGTTCCTGAGGTTGTATGCACCCTAAAAATAGAGGTGGAAGATGCTTTTGACTTTTCATCAAAAAAAATCGTATTGAATTCATATGAATCAACTCAAGCATAAGTAAAAAGATTAAGAAGTGTTTCAACAGACCTGCTATCTTTTCTCTCACCCATCTTGCCATCAACAACTGTTAACTTTTTCGTGTGAGGCTTGCAAAATTAGCTTTACAATCCAATTCAGCTTACTTCTGTAAACAAAAACATAAACAGAGATTTATCTGAAGGCAAATTACACAACAAAAACCCCAAATTCAATTTCGATAAGCCCTAAAAACAGATAAATAAAGAATCGCTATTAACCCTTAGCCACAAAAGCAGATAAGAGAAAATTAAGAGGAACATGGGATTCAATTGTGGTGTCAGGAGTGATTTCCTCTTATCATAACAATAAAAGATCATATGTAGAAACTGTTAAATAAATCAATCACAGATATGTTGGAATCTTAAGTCATCATTTCCCTCCACCCATGTCTTCCACTCCTAAAAAGCTAACACAATTTCTGGAACAAAGTAGGGGACATCATCAAAGAGTGGTTGGGTCTCTTTACTTGTTTAATATTATAAGCTTACTCCAGCTTATATATATATACAGCATATATCGAGTTATGAATATGTAGTACAACACAAACACAGTGTAAACCAATTGGTTTTTGAGTGATATTTCCAATTATAAATCAAAGAGATATTTTGATATATTTGTCTGTGTTTATACAATTGCTATACTAGAATTGTTTATACAATTACTATACTATACAATTGTTATACTAGAATTGGTATCAGAGCTCAAGAACAGGGGCTTGAATTCATACCTGGTGATCAAGAAGGACACCAGTAAAAGAGATGTCAGACAAAGAAGGAGAAGGTGGTGATGCTGGTCCGGCTCCGGTGAAACTCAAGGAGGTCGGAACAACCACTGTGGCTTGCCCGATGTTGAATTCCACAAATTACACCGTATGGTCCCTGCGTATGAAAGTCGTACTCAGAATTCATAAAGCCTGGACCATAATCGATCCAGGAGAAGAGAAAAATGATGAAAAGAATAACCTGGCAATGGGGCTATTGTATCAGGCAATCCCCGAAGCCCTAATCATGCAAATAAGAGATGTCGATGAATCAAAAACCCTGTGGGAATCGATTAAAGCTCGATACGTCGGAGCTGATAGGGTAAAGGAGGCGAGACTGCAAACATTAAACACCGATTTCGATCGGTTGAGAATGATCGAGACAGAGTCAATTGACTCGTTCGCCGGAAAACTCTCCGGTTTGGCTTCGAAATCTGCCTCACTTGGTGAAACAATTGACGAGTCGAAGCTTGTGAAGAAGCTTCTGAAGGTTGTTCCCAGGCGATTCATCCATCTGGTGGCATCACTCGAGCAGGTGCTCGATCTGAAATCCGTGGGCTTCGAGGACGTAGTCGGACGTCTGAAAGCTTACGAAGAGAGAATAAGAGAGGCAGATGATAGCGGAGATGGTGGCGCGAAGATGTTGTTTGCCTCGAGATCGACTGGCGGCTGGAGCGGCGGTGGAAGCTCTGGATCGTCGGGGAAGACGAACTGGGGAAAAAAGGGGAAGGGTTCAAATGGCTCCGACTCAGGAGGTTTTAATCGGAATGGATCTGGGTCGGGTGGAGGATCCGAGTCAGCAGGACCCAATGGGTCAGGCCCAAGTGGAAACCGGCCCAGTTCGGCCCAAAACCCTAATAAGCCCAAAAACAAGCCCAATTCTAATTCGGACTCAAACCGAAACCCGAAAAAAGATCTGTCGAAGATTATATGCTACAGATGTGATAAGTCGGGCCATTACGCATCCAAATGTCCGGACAGAACCCAAAAATTCCAAGAAAGTAATTTTACTGAACACGACGATGCCGGTGAAACAGTATTTTTACACGAGACCGTATTTTTGAACGAAGAGAAGGTGATACCGTCTCGATACAACTCACAAGAAAACGATGTGTGGTATTTGGACAACGGGGCAAGTAATCACATGACGGGAAATCGTTCATTTTTCTCCGAACTCGACGAAGGAATAACCGGAAAGGTCAAATTCGGTGATAATTCGTGTGTCGAAATAAAAGGGAAAGGCTCAATTGTTTTCCAAGGAAAATCGGGGCAACAACGATTGATAACGGAGATTTATTTCATTCCAGATTTGAAAAATAATATTTTCAGTCTCGGACAAGCAACAGAAGCCGGGTGTGATATTCGGATGAAAGACAACTATTTGACGATGCATGATGCCGACAACTGCTTATTAATGAAGGTACAAAGAACTCCAAATCGCCTTTATAAAATACAGTTGCCTATTGGAGTACCTATCTGTCTTCATTCAAGACTAAGTGAAGACACGTGGCGCTGGCATGCAAGACTTGGACACATAAATTTCGAGTCAATGAAAAAGATGTCCAAGAAAGGTCTAGTCAAAGGGTTACCCTATTTTGACAGTGAAAATCAATTGTGTGAATCTTGCTTGGTGGGCAAGCAAACAAGAAAGTCATTTCCATTAATGACGACGTACAAAGCAACACGACCATTGGAGCTAGTTCACGGTGATTTATGTGGTCCGATAACACCGTCAACGAAGGGTCAAAATCGATACATTTTCACACTAATTGACGATTTTTCACGGTATATGTGGATTTTTCTCTTAAAAGAGAAAAATGAGGCGTTTTTACACTTCAAAAAATTTAAAGCTTTGGCGGAGAATGAGCTCGGAAAGTCTTTAAAGGTGTTTCGAAGTGATCGAGGAGGTGAGTTTACTTCGCTCGAGTTTAATTCCTTTTGTGATATGAATGGAATCAAACGCCATCTTACCGCCCCATATTCACCACAACAAAACGGTATTGTGGAACGAAGAAACAGAACACTTATGGACATTACACGAAGTATCATGAAGGCGATGCATGTTCCAAACTACCTATGGGGAGAAGCGGTAAAACATTCCACAAACCTGATCAACCGTGTTTACACAAGAGTACTTGGTGATACAACTCCGTACGAGAAGTTGTATAAAAGAAAACCTAATTTGAAGAATGTACGCATCTTTGGGTGTTTAGCGTATGCAAAAGTTGAACATGTAAACGTGAAAAAATTGGATGCAAGATCAAGACCATTGGTTCATCTTGGTTCTGAACCGGGTACAAAAGCCTATCGGTTATTTAACCCGGTTACACAAAAAATAATCGTAAGTCGAGACGTTATTTTTAATGAAACCAAAGGATGGAATTGGGTTAACGAAGCTACACCTGACAATGAAGAACCAGGATCATTCATAGTACCATGTGATTTACCGGAAGATAAGGCAAACAACAACCAAGGAAACGATGTAAACAACGAACCAAACGAATCGGATCACGAGATTGAAGACGGAGTGGAGGTACAAGAAAATGAGCAACCAAGTCTGATCAACAACAACGTGAACAATGTTCAAAACCAAAGGCCCACAAGACAAAAGGTGCTTCCAATTCAATTACGAGATTATGTACTTTATGTTGATGAAATTGAAGAACTTCTCCTAGAAACCAATGACGAGCCGGTATCGGTTGAAGAGGCGACGAAAGAACCAGAGTGGGTCAAAGCCATGAATACAGAAATCAATTCGATCAACAAGAACAATACTTGGTCTCTCGTAAACAAACCTATGGGGGTGAAGCCCATTGGACTCAAATGGGTGTTCAAGCTGAAGAAAAATGCAGATGGCACCATAAACAAACACAAGGCGAGGTTGGTTGCTAAAGGGTACGTACAACAACCTGGTATTGACTTTCAAGAAATATTTGCTCCGGTAGCTCGCATCGAAACCATACGGTTTCTCATTGCCTTAGCCGCTACCAATGGATGGGAGCTTCACCACTTGGATGTCAAGACGGCTTTCTTACATGGAGAGTTGAGAGAAACCGTCTATGTGTATCAACCGGAAGGCTACATAAGGAAAGGCGACGAGCACAAGGTGTACCGTCTTTCAAAAGCACTATATGGTCTTAGACAAGCACCGAGAGCATGGAATACAAAACTTGATGGGATTTTGAAAGGAATGAAATTTCACAAGTGCATGAAAGAACCATCGGTGTACCGGAAGAACGAAGGATCCAACTTGCTAATTTTAGCAATCTATGTTGATGATTTGTTTGTCACAGGTACAAATTTGAGCATGATCAAAAGGTTCAAATTTGAAATGTC